ATTTATAATTTGTATAATTAACCTCCCCGTGGTTCGACCCCGGTCTTACCGGGTTATTTATTACTTCGACACTTCTGCACTTGGGAGAAGACATCAATCTTTTATTCTTGTCACTCCTGCCATTACATACCCATACACATAGTTGGTTCTCCAAACATGCTCTCCCTACTCCTGCCATTACATACCCATGCATATAGTTGGTTCTCCAAACATGCTCTCCCTAACTATTGCAAGATGAACCTTAGTTGTTACTCATGTTGTTTCAAGCCAAACTCCACAGGCTCCTTATTGCCTAACAGATCACTTCAGTATGCATTATTCTCAATTGAAAATAAGTTTAATTTGTGAAAAAAAATATCTTTGACATACATTTCTTATCTACAGATCTCTAGTGTAATCTCAAATCAACATGACTCTCCAATAAGGCTCTCAAGCCTCACAAAATCTCTTAAGCCTCTCTCATATCTTTCATCCTTCAAGTGTAGTCTCGGACTAGCATAAATCTTCAATGAAACTCTTAGACCTTACACAATCTTTAGGGAGTGATCTCGAATCTCCTGTTTTCTAGGTATGGTCTCATATCTTTCTCTTTCTAGTGCAATTTTGAACCAACACAACTTCTTAGTGGAGCTTTTGGGCCTCACAATATCCCATAAATGATCTAGGATCTCCCGCTCTCTAGTGTAGTATTGGACTAACACGACTCACCAATAGAGTTCCCAGGCCTTACTTTATCTCTAGGGATGATCTTAAAGCTCCCACTCTCAAGCATAATCTCTCTTCAATTAGGGTCTTCCAAGCCCCATATCATTGCTAAGGAAGCCATAGGCTTTCCACTTTAAAAATAAAAACTCTTTATTATGGGGTTCTCACACCTTCTATCATTATAGGAAAGTTAAATATCTCCTATACTCTATTGAACACTCTTTAATAGGGGGATCTCATACCTCATGTTGTCTTAAAAAGGTCACATACCTCCCATACTTTAACGCAACCACTTTTTAATGGAGAGGCTCCTAAACCTTAAATTATTGCAAAAAAGGCTACATGCCTCCCACTTTAGTGTGATCTCTCTTTAGTCAGGGCTTTCCAGCCTCACACCATTGACTAGGAGGCCACAAGCCTCCCTCTGTCCAGTATGATCTTAGATCAGTATGAGGCTTCTAAGCCTCACACTATTATAGAGAATGACTTTTAAGGAGCTTTTCCTTAACTTGTTAAAAACTCTCTACCTCTTAGAAATTTTTCTAAGTATGGGTGTCACTATGGGTTCGTTTCCCTTCACCTCATAGAAATTTTTCCAAGTATAGATGTTGTCATGAGTTCGCTTTGTTTTGCCTCTTAGAAATTTTTCTATGTATGGGCGTCATTATGAGTTCACTCCTTTCTACCTTTTAAAATATGTATTATTTTGAGTGGAATACAACTTAATATACCACATTAATTTATAGGGGTAAAATAAAAATTCAACCCCTCCTCTCCATAAAAGGATAAGATTTGTCTAGTATAAATACTTCTTGAATTACCAAGTTCAAGGTTTATATTCTTTTCATTCTTAATATTTTTAGCATATATATTTTTAGAATTTCTCTTTTTAAAATATCATTGCAGTTTCTCTTTCTATAAAGTTATTAAATTGAGCATCTGAGAGTCTCTACATCCATCAAAAATAATTTTTTACAAATACCAACTATAAGCACCCCAGCTTACTAGGCATTAGGCATGTCATCTAGATTTTTTATATCAAGCTACTAGACACCTTGGCTAGGAAAAATGTTTCAAATTGCTATAATTAAAAAATTAATTAATTATCAAACATATAAATTTTATTTCTAAATTACTTGGATTTTTTAGAATGTTATGAAATTTGACTTAAGATTTTCTAAAGCAGACTTATCTCTTATTAGCTACTTGTAACCATGAGTTCTTCTCAGTTGGATGGATTAAGTAGTTATGATATGTATTTAAGTTTGTTAAAATGGATGAAATCTTAAAAAAAAAAATAGTAAACAAAACATGAGGATACAAATGAAAATTTTCAAATGTTAGTATGTTTTTGTTGGTCAAATTATCACCATTAAAGGTTTGAACCATTTGATTGAAGCATAGATCAGCATAAAGGTGTCTCAACATGCGTTCAACAATTGAGTCCGTCTTTGCCTTTTCTTTTTTCTTCTTCTTCTAATTACTGTTATATGTAGGCAATGCTGGATCCTAAATTAATTTTAGAAGAGGTGTCATTGCATGTAAGTTTAGCAAATTTGAACTTAAAGCTTAAAGTACAGAATGAAAGTGTGACAAAAAAAAATAAAAAAACCCGACAAAATGTGAATTATGTAATGCAAAAAAAAAAAAAAACCTGACAAAATGTGAATTATGTAATGCAACAAAACTATAAACATACTATATTGAAAGATTACGTAACAATCCTTGTAATATAATAAGTACGTTCTTTAAAGTCAAATTAGCAAGCTAAATCTTTTAATTCCATTATTTTGATAAAATAAGAATTAGATTTTCAGCAACTAATTCTACAAAACAAGCTGTAGCAAAATGACAAAAATAAAAATAAAAATCAATTGCAATATTTAATTTGAACTTCTTCTTTAATATATAAGTCCATTTAGGTGAATCATGTAATTAAAATAAGCTATTTGAACATAATTTAAAAAAAAATATGTAAGAAACTCTTAAAACATAATAAGCTCATTTAGGATAAGAAAGCAAAATAACCAAAATGAAAACCTCATCAATAAGAATTTCACATATGGTTTACAATTATTTTACAATGTATAATGTTTGTGATTTGATGATTATCTAAAATCTTATGCTTATTATATAATTGAAAATAACAAAATCAAGATATTTTAAAGTGTGTAAAGTGCGCGCGCGCGTGTGTGTGTGTATATATATATATATATATATATATATATATGAATAATAGCATACATGGGTTTGAGACTAGGATATAAAAGGTGGAATAAATATAGAAAATAAGATGAAATAGCTAAGAGAATAATAAAAGGGTAGTTGTTATATTATCAAAAAATTATTTAAATTTAAAAGCTGAAGTATTTAATAAGATTTTAAAATATAATTTATATTATTATTTAATATATTTATTCAAGTGACAATTCTTTAACCTAAAACTTATATATAATTATAATAATTTATGTTTAGTTTTTTATCAAATAAAATAAAGTATTAAAATTTAAATTTATAATCGATTGTCATATCGTGTCATAAAACTTTTTAAACTTAAAAAACTTTAAGATTTTAGATTAAATCTTAAGATTAATTTATATTAATTTTTAACAGTAATTTTTTTTATATAAAACAAAACAGTTTGCAAAGTAAATTTTGTAGTAAAATGACTTTATTTGAACAAAAAATTGGTAATATTTGTAACGAGCCCTTGAAATCTAGTGATGATACTCTCTGGAGGCATTCAACTTCACCGAATCATTTTAGTTCCATGAATCATAATAGGTAAGAATAAAATACTTATAAACTAAATTTCCCGTAAGGACCAAATAAATAACTTTGTAAGCTCAGTTTGGTCAGTTTGCAACAAATTTTGGCTTGGTAGGGTTTTTTTTCTAAAAAAAAAAGTGCAACATATTGCAAAATAACGTCAAAAGGAAGAGACGTGCAAGAAACAAAAACTAATTTGCCAGCTTTTTCTTCTTATTAATCTTTTATAACGGTCTAGAATATACGTTTTGATTTTCTGCTGGAATGGGACAATGAAGCAGATGGCGAATTTATTATATATATATATATATATATATATATATTGTTTATAATATTGATCATGATTGGATAAGCAATCTGTCAAGGTAATCGAAGACACGTTGGATGCAATTTACATGCAAGGAAAGATGCACTTGCACATGATTGCACGTTGCAAGTCACCACTTGACTTTGCTTTGTAAGTCAATGGGACCACCTGCCACTTAGACTACACCTAGATTATTTATTGTGTTGTGCTTTTGGTCACATTATTATTTTTTAAAATTAAAAAATATTCAAATATTATTAATAAATTGTGTTGAGATTCATCTAATATGATTCAGTTTCTTGAGTAGTTTTAGATGTTGTCATGGGTGATGATATTTTTCTCTTTCTTTTTCTTTTTTTTAATGTTTTGTCCCTTTTGTTTTTACTACTAAAATATGATGTTTTAGTCTACTTTATTTAATAATTTCCTCTTTTAAAAGTTTATATTTCTTGTATTGATGGATCTTAAAAGAATTTCAAGTACAAATCAGTCTTCATACATTGTCGCACTACTTTTAGATATGAATTATGTATAAAACTTTAATTCCCGACTTTCATAGATATGCATAGTTAACAAGACATGAGCCTAAAACCTCAAAAAGAACAAGAAAAGACAGAAGATTGTCAGGAAGTTAACAAGCAGAGAATTGGTAAGAAGGGAATAAAAAAATCAATATGAGAAGACCAAAAGAAAGTCGTCCGTCTTTGTTAATGGCTTCTCAAACTCTCTTGCATCTCGCAATTCAAGTGGCTCGACTTTAGGGCTTGACATTAGCAAGTCTTTGTTTAGCCTCAGTGACGTCCTGTTAGGTTTTTTTTTTTTTTTTTTTCTAGGTCTATTCATCAAAACAAAGCTATTCAAGCACTCGAAAGCGAGACATTTCACCAAACATTTAATGGCATAAAACGCTATCATCTACAATGCTGACAAGCATCCTATCGATAATGGCGATTTGGCTAAAAACCAGGAAACACAGAACAATATTTTGCAATCTCATGTTCGAGTCCTCTATTGACAAGAAATATAATAGATGTTGACAAGAAAGCATAATAAATTAAGTGTGAAGAGCCAAACTTACAATATCACCTGGGCAAATCTTCAACTGAACTAACGCAGAAGCAACCTTGACACATCTGTCAAATGTATCTTTCCATGAAAACCTCACATTACTGCCATACACAATGGAAACTTTATCTCCATAAACCGTAGCAGCTCTCTCTAGGAAACTTATCGGTGACAAGGGCACGTAGTTTGCAGGGCAGTGATAAATTCCCTCCATTTCTTACGTCTCTTGATGGGATGTTCTTCGAATGCGATACAGGGGAATGCTTATAAATACAGAGGTGGAGTCTATGGCATCATAAGTCAGCCCATAACCTCTCTTTTTTTTATGTGGAAAAAATGCCTTCAATCGTAAATAATTAATGAGGCGATGACAGGTACAAAACACAGCATCAGCTTTGTGCTAACACCATTAACGCATTTAATAATTCCTCGTCCTCGGTGGATCATCCTCGCTGTATATTGGGACTTGAAGGGCCCTGTTAATGCAGTAAGTGCTGATTCTTTGAATCGCTCTTGAAACTCTTTCCGGACCTCCAATGTTGAATTCGTATTGAAGGGAACACATTGTCTAGACTTCTTTAAGAGAAATAAGAATTGTGAACCATAAAATTTCCCAGAAACTAGACTTTCATAGATTTTAAGAATATATGGAATGTTATCTACTTCTTTATGAACACGTCCAATTTAATCCATCTCTCTTCGATGCAGGCTGTTCCAGACCAAGTGATAAACATAAGAACTGTTGCGTTTTGAGTGAGATTTTTATTGCTACTAGACTCGCTTCATTTTCCCGACTAGAAAGACAATTATTCTCAAAGCACCAAGGACTGCTCTGAAGAAATTCTCTTTTTGCTATTATTCACTCAACCCCAACACGAATATAAAATAAACAAATTTAGGCCTAAAAATGAAAAATATAAAAAATAATGATTGAAAACCTAAATAAAGTGAAAAATATATATCTATTTTGAGCTCATCATGCCCTAACAGATGCACACTCTGATCATCGACCGATATGCTCCCTATCTGTATTGTTGTCAAACACAAACCAAGGCACAAGGAAGTTGACCTGCGAGATCGCCTTGGGTTTGCACCGTTGACCAACCTTAATCGTTTTAGAATTATTCAAATGAGAGGATATGTATAGGGACATGTATAAGACGATGAACTATGCTTGAACAAGTGAAGCCAGAGGAAACTCTTGTAGAGACTTATAAAGATACTAACGTGTAAATCATTGATTTGACTTGGGTATAATGGAAAAAAACTAATCAAACCATCTTATAGTTGGTTGTCGTTAAATTTTTTCCAGGATGGTTAGAGCTTGGTGCAAGTTATATCAAGTAAAATAATTGGTGTAATGCCCTCAATTAATTTTTAAACTTTAGATAGGTAGAATGGAATGACTGCTTTTTAACTTGCATAATGAAATTGAGAGCTTTAAATAGGGCAATTTTTATAAGTTTTAAAAAATCAGTTTTAGTTATTGTTAGCTAGGTTAAAATATGTATTGAGTTAAAACTATGATTGAAATTACTATTAAATAAAAAATAATTAAAAAATATTTGATTAAAATCGTTGTTGAAAGTGTTGTTAATTATAAAATGATTAAAAAAACATGCAGCAATTTCATCATTTTGAATTATATTATTGTGTACTAGATTATTAATACATCATAAATACAACAATATAATATTAAAATCTTATTTTTATTGTTTCATTAAACGAGCTACAATCTTATCATGAATATAATTTATTTAAGAAGGCCTCTATTAGTTATGGCATTGCGAGCATGTAACCATATAGGTTAAAAATTCTTATCTTCTTTAGAGGTAATATTTGGTTCATTGAAAACTTCAAAGTTGGTTGCTATATTAATCTAAAATAAAATAAATGAATACCATTGATATGCTTAAGGTATTAAAAGTTTATAAAAAAAAAAAAATTCAAGTGTTAATTAGAATTTTGAAAGAGAAAAAAAATACTATCTAAAAATTTATCTTTAAAAAGCCTGTTTAACTATGAAACTTGACAAACATATGCATTCATGTACGATGACATGTTTTCCTAGCTATACTTCTTCCTATTTTCTTTCTAGCATCCATTAATTTCTTTTTAATTGCTTCTTATTTTTCATTAATTTTTCTTTAGTTACATTTTATTTTTTGTTTTCAACAAAACATGAAACAAGGGATCCTAAAATAGAGTAACCCCCATAAAAAATCACATCCTCTAAAGTAATAGTAGTTTCTCCGCATGAAAAAAAAAAACATATTGGTATTAAATCAATATTTTTTTTAATAAAAAATAATTAGATTAAACCAATAATAACATTGAAGGATTGAATTTAAAAAAAAAAATCAACTAAGTAGAGTTCAATAAAGCAAAATGTTAAACACTTAGACTAACAACGAAAGTGAATATCAGGTTAATAGATTTAAATTTTTATTGACAATAATACATACAAAAATACATAACTTTATCACTTTAGAATCTAAGACCACCTACTATTGGCTATCCATTATCCAACCTTATTATTATTGGACAACTTGAAAAATGATCATCAACAGACACAAGAACAAAAAACAAATTAGATTAATAATTAATGGTTGTCAACATAAAAAATGAACAAGGAATGGGAACAAGATCAATAAGATAAAAGTCAAACAAACATTCAAGTGCCTAGTTTTATCAACTCCAGGCCACAAAACAAACTAAGAAAGGAAGAAAATAACTTACAATGGAAGAACATCAATCAGGTAAGAAGAGATTTTTTTATCACTCTTGTTGTGTTTCTTATTTCTCTTCTTATAATTTAAAAAGAATTAAAGGGTGTTTAAGCAAAACTTTTTGCACAAAGATGGTGAAAGACACACAATAAGAAAAATGATAAAAAAAAAAAAGATTTTCTTATATTAAAAGGCATTTAAGTAGTCAAAGCTAAATGGTGATGGTAGCTCTTATTAGATATCCGGCGGATATCCAAAGGGATGGTGAGAACCCTCTCCAATTGCATCACCACCTTAAGGCTCCCTCTCACTAAAACCAAACCTCTCGCCAGCAATGACTTATATGACTTACCTCCTTTTCTTATTTAGGGTAGAAAAGGTGAAAGATGCGTGATTAATAGTCACGAAGGAAAATGTATCCTTCAACTCAAAGGGATAACTCTATAGTTGTGGCCTTAGTGATCATAGAAGAAAATAAAGATAGAGGAACAAATACCTCAACTACTTAAGATTTAACATATACTCTATAGGATGGAGACCTCCTTTTAAAAAAAAAAAAAGCAGTAACACCCATAATCATTTTTGAGGGAGTTAAGTCAGTGTGACACTTAGTTTGAAGGTTACAGCTCCTTCTAGCCTTTATCTCAGTGAAAATAAAAGCCCTCACCATCATTTCCTTGGAATTTGAGTCCTTATAAGCAAGGAGTTCATGCACAAGAATCTCATCATGCTTATTCTTTCTTCAGTAAAGGAGGATGTTTTCCAATGATTTAACAGAAAACACTTCTCCTCTTTTGGTTGGCAAACCTACCTAGCCAAAAGCTCTTTTCCAACGAGAAAGTGTTTAAAGCGGACAAATAAATTGATTTGGCTTCAACACTTGCAAATTTGACTTGGTTAGTAAATCAAATATTATTTTCTATACTATTATTTTTCAATTCAAAATTATAAAATGATAGTTTAAAAAATAATTCATGTAAACATATTAAATATTTGAAAATAAATAATTTATTGAAAGCTGTTAAAAAAGAAAAATTGATTATAGCTTGGAATATAATTGATAGTATGTATAAGAGATTGAATGGGTGTTTGGTAGGGCATTTCAACTAGTTTTTAAAAATTTTGAATTTTTTTACTTCAAATTATTTTTAAAATTATTTTAATATGTTTATGTCAAAAATAAATTTTAAAAAATAAAAAATATTATTTTAATATATTTAAAAATATATATATTTTAAAAAACAACCACTATTATTATTCCAAACATCTCCTAGAAAGCTCCATTCAAATTATATAGAAGTAACCTAGTATTTTTAAAATTATTTTCCCCTAATCATTTCAATCATAAACATCAACCAACATCAAACTTTATCTTTGCGGTTGAGATCTTTGTGAAAATCCCACCAAATTACAAATAGGATAACCTAAGATATATGGGAAAATACTTAGGATTTAGCAAAATGTCAGGGGATATCTAGCTTAGGGTTCCTTAGTTAGGCCAAAATGAATCTATGGTCCAATCCAGGGCTAACTTCGGCGACAGGAGCTCGGAGTAGTGCTCTTTGATGGGTCCAACTCCCATTATCTGGGATGGGTAACCAATTTTGCTGTCTTCGTCTTCTATTACTGCCACTCCCTCTACTTTGTGAACAACGTTATTTTGTTCGAACAAGAACTTGTTGAAGCTCTTTTGGTGGTCATAAAAAGAGAAATTGTCTTGCATCGGAGGAGATAAAGATGTGACGTTAGGTGCTCTAACCATTTCTTCTATAGCTGCCCTTTGCTCCAAGACCTTCAATGATGTTGCCTTTCTATATACTTTGCAAAGCACCATCTCCTGCATCACATAAATTCAGCAGCCATATCAGTAATACAAACATTTCCCATTTACATCTTCGTGTATGCCAGCATTCTCAAGCGATTAAGGCGCCATTTGAACCCGAATTTTATTGCATGTTCTTTATTTTTGCAAGGTTTGATGTTTCACTTCACCTAAGATCTATTTGTTTGTTAAAAAATAATATTTATTTGAAAAGTAGTGTTTATGAAAAATAAATTGTTTATAAGTGAATTATTTTTTAACGTGTGATAATGTTATGAAAAATAAATTAAAAAACATCTTCTACTATTTGACTATATTATAAAAAATAAACTGAAAAATAACTTGTTAATATTTTTTTTAATTTATTAAAAGAATGATAATTAAATCTAATAGATAAAAAAAGTTAAAGAGGATGAAATTGAAAAAAATTAATTTTATAAATTATTTCAAATAAAGTAAATTAAAATTAAAATAATGGAGACCAAGTCTGCAAATAAAAAATTGAAAGATGATGAAATGAAAAAAAATATAATTTTATAAATTATTTCAAATAAAATATATAGCATTCAAAAGAATTGAAACCAACTATGATAGATAAAAATAATTTCAATTAAGAAAACGATAAGAGAAAATAAAATATTAGGTTTGATATAAATCAAATTCTTAGGGA